AAAAAAAAAAAAGTTGCCCTGGAGATGGGCTCCTCACTGGAGTGCTAATCCCAACGTCAGCATTTCAAATCCGCTAGCTGCTCTCTGGGCAAAAGACAAGGCTTTCTACTCCCATCAAATGGTCTAGTCTAGGAAACCCACAGGGGCAGTTCTACTCTGACCTACAGCATCATTATGGGTCCGAACCCACTCAGTGGCAGTGGATGAATGAGCATGGTTTAAATTCAGGAAAGGGATGTGTCAGAATTGTATCCTTTTATCAAGTCATAATCAATGCTGAACCAATAATCTGAGAAAGTGGACTACATGAAGCAGAGCACAGCATCAGAGTTGGAGGAAGATTCAGGCCTCATTGCTGAAAGCCAAGAGAGTGAAGCACTTGATGAAGACTAAAGACTGCAGCCTCTGGTACAGACTAGAACTCAATGTAGAAAAATAAATCTCACAACTGGACCAATAAACAGCATCATGGGAAATGGAGAAAAGATTGAAATTGTCAAGGATTCCATTTTGCTTGAATCCACAATCAATGCTCATGGAAGCAGCCGGTAAGAAACCAAAAGGCGTATTGCAATGGGCAAATCTGTTGCTCCAGACTTCTTTATGAAAGAACAAGGATGTCACTTTGAGGGCTCAGGCAGGTGATTTTCAGTAACCTTATATGTATGTGAACAATGAACAAGGAAGACTGCAGAACAATTGATGCACTTGAATTCTATTGGCAAAGAATGTTGAAAGTCCCATGGGACTGCCAGGAGAGCCAGCCAGTCTGTCTCGGAGGAAGCACAGACAGAACACTCCCTAGAAGCAAGCATGGGGAGACTTAGTCTTATGCTCTTTGGACATGTTACTGGGAAAGACTAATCCCTGGAAAAGGACATCATGCTTGGTAAAGTAGCGGGTCAGCAAAAAAGAGGTTGACCCTTAAAGGAGATGGATTGACGCAGTGGCTGCAACAGTGGGCTCCTGGGAAACAATTGTGGGGATGGTGCAGGACCAAGTGGTGGGCAGCATTTCATACATAGGTTCTATGAGTCTAAACTGACTTGACAGCACCTTACAATAAAAACTGCCTTTCAATTGTGTTAATTGAATTGAAAATGTATGCTCATATTTATTCTAATGACTTTCGTGGTAGGGACATTTATAGGAGTTTTTGAAAACACAAATGTAAATATTAATATTCCAAAGCATTGATGGTCTTGACTTATGCATTGTGAAGTTTAAATACAATAATAATAATTTAAAAAACCTGCTCCTCTACCGAGCATGATGTTGTTCTCCAGGGTCTGGTCTCTCCTGACAACATGTCCAAAGTATGTAAGATGAAATCTTGCCATCTTTGTCTCTAAGGAACACTCTGGCCATATACTTCTTCAAACAGATTTATTTGTGCTTTTGTCAGTCCATTGTACTTTCAATATTATTCTCCAGCACCTCAAATCAAATGCATCAGCCTTTCTTTTTCAGTGTCCAACTTTCACATACGTATGAAACCAAGCTCAACTGCCATTGAGTCGATACTGACCCACAGTGACCCTATAGGACTGGGCAAAACCGCCCCAGTGGGTTTCCCAGACAAACTCCATACAGGAGTAGAAAACCCTGTCATGTGTATGAGGCAATTGGAAATATCATGGCTTGGGTCAGGTGTACCTTAGTCCTCAAAGTAACATCCTTGCTTTTCAGTACTCTAGAAAGACCTTGGGCAGCAGATTTACCCAATGCAATGTGGCTTTTGTTCTCTTGGCTGCTGCTTCCATGATGATTGTGGATCCAAGCAAAAGGAAATTAAAAAAAATTTTTATTTATTTTTGCAAAAGGAAATTTTTGACAACTTCAATCTTTTCTCCTTTTAGCATGATATTACCTATTGATGCAGTTGTGAGGAGTTTGGTTTTCTTCACATTGAATTGTAATCTATACTGAAGGCTACAATCCTTGATCTCCATCAGTAAGTGCTTCAAGTCCTCACTTACAGCAAGCAGAGAGATTGCATTGAGAGGACTACCCTTTTTTGTGCAGCAAAAGAGAAAACAGCCAAGGAATATCAGGTAGATAGAATCCCTGAATAGTGTTGATTGCTAACAAAAGGTTGGTGGTTTGGATCTATCCGCGGCATTTAAGAAGAAAGGCATGGAGCTCTTCTTTTGAAATATCACAGCTATTAAAAACCCGGTGGAGCACAGTTCTACACTGAAAAACAAACAAACATGGGGTTGACATTAGAATTGAGTGGCAACTGGTTTGGTTTGGTTTATCTTAGTAGTGAACCTAGAAAGAGTTATTTAAATCCCATGCAAGTCATGACCTTAACACATATATTTCTGTTTTCTAATCCAACATAATTATGGGCTGGATTATAGATCAGTTTTTGGGGGGGCTTAGCTCAATTTATCTGTTTCCAAAGTATTTTGTCTAAATAATTGATAAGAACCCTTTGTTCACCTAGTAAGGAAATTAAATAGTTCTCCAATGCATACGTTTTGTGAACAAAAGCATTTTAGTGCTGGGACATTTGACAAATCCATTTTAAACTTTTAATTATGAATTACATGATGGTTCACAGAGCAGATAAATCGGTTTTGCATTCAACAATTTAGACCATTTTGTTTCAACTCATCCATTTCGGTCCCTTCAGTATACCATCACTTACTCCATTTCCTCTCATTGTTTCCTGTTTTTCTTCCTTTCTGAACTTTATTATACCTTTGAGTAAATGCTGCCCTTTGCATCTTAAATGGCTGATTATTCTAACACATGGATGAGTTCAGCTCCAGAATTGAAGGTTGACTAAGGGCCATAGTCTCAGGGATCCCACTAGTTTTCTATCTGACCAACCAGTCTGGTCTCCTATAATTTTCAGTTCTGTTTTCATTTTCCCCATTCTACCCAGGGCCTTCTGATCTAACCTCGGAACAGTTGGTAGTGGTAGCCGGGCACCATCTACTTCTTCTGGTATCAGGCTTGTGGAGCTTCATGTCTGTGTGGTCCATTAGTTCATTAGACTAAATGTCTCCATGCATCTTTCAATTTTCATCACTTTTTACTCCAGAAAGGGAGACACTAATAGATACACTTTTGATAGCTGTTAATAAGCTGTTAATAACCATCAAAAAATGTTTCTGTAAATGTGAAAACCTTTTCTTGATTTTTTAGAATGCTGGTCTCATACAGTATTTGCCATTTTATTTTTGATTAATTTCACTCAGCACAATGCTCTCTAGGTTTATTCATGCTATGAGGTGCTTTGCAGATTCATCATATTCTTTGACACTGCACAATATTTCATTGTATTTAGGAAACCAAAGTTTACTTGTCCATTCTTCCATTAATGGGCCTTTAGTTTATTTCCACTGTTGCTATTGTGAATAGTGCTGTGATGAACATGGGTGTCACATTTATCTATTTGTGGCATCCTCTTCTCTAGGTTCTATACCAAGTAGAGGGATTACTCAGTCATACTTAGTAAAAAAAAAAACCATTGACACACATATGTGTATAAGGAAGAGGTTTATATACAAGAGCAATTGTACATTAAGAAAACATCTCAACCCAGTCCAGTCCAAGACCATAAGTCTGATATGTCCGATACCAATCTATAAAGCCCTCTTCAGACTCACGAAACACATGCAAAGAAGTTAAAGGCAGGATGATCACAATCCAGTGGGTAGAAAGTCTTTGGGTCCAGTGATGTTGTAAGCATCCCAGCGCTGGCAGGGGTCTCTCTGTGGCTTCTCTGGCTTCAGAGGTCTGGTTGTGTCCATGTGGCTTGTCTTCTGCAATGTCTCCCAGGAAGTGGCAGAGAGAGAGCAGTGTCTTCCACCTCCAAGGAGGAAGTACCAGATTTCCCAGAATTCTCAGGAGAAGGCCATGCCCACACAAGTCTCACTGGCTATCTTCAGATTGACAGTTTAGACTCCACCCCTACGCTCTTAATCCTTAAATTGACACCAGATTAGGTGACTATCACATACTTTATTTCTATTTCCAGCTTTTAAAGAAATTGCCAAATTCACAATTTTAATTTTTATTAGCATAATTCACATATCATACAATTCAATAGTTCAATCATAAAGAAAATAATTATTCAATCATCACTACAGTCAGTTTGAGAACATATTCTTTGTCCTTATAATCATTGTTACTAGCTCCCCACTCCCCCAACCTCTCCTGCCATACCCCCAAGGAATTGTTAATTCAGTAACTGGCTCCATAGATTTACCTATCCTAGATTTCATATAATGAAATACATAAAAAAGCAAAGCCCCAACAACAATAACCAAATAAAACACAGAAAATCCTCATTCAGAAAGAAAGCAGAAAATAATAAAAACAACAAATTTAAAATGGGTCAAAGGAGAATGAATGATAAGGTGTTAAATTTTAACCTCATTTCATCTACCTCAAGGCACTTTGCAATGTACTCTCTGATTGGAAGGTTATTCACATCTCTGGTTAACAGAGGCGATTCTTCAGGCACTTAAATCACACGGGGTTCCTGCAAAGGGATTTTGGACTTTCCATGTTGTTATGTGCCACCAAGTTGGTTCCAACCCATAATAACCCTATGCACAACAGAATAAAACACTGCCTGACCCTGCACCATCCTCACAATTGTTCCCATGCCCGAGTCCACTGTTAAGGCTTCTGTGTTAATCCATCTAATTGAGGACCTTCCTGACATCCTCCTCAGCCTTCCTGCAAACTAGGTGCTCAGAACGTAAGCTCTAATACTCTTCCTTCCTCTGACTTTGGATTTTATGTGCAATCCTTTGGTCTTGAATATGTACAATCCTTGGACCACACAGGTGGGTGTGCTTCTTCCTTGTGGATTTAATTGACACTTCACTTAGTTGGCTGCTTGTTTTAAGACAAGGCCTCATGTCCGCAGACACTATTTCTGATAGCTGGGCACCATCTGATCATTGGTGATCTCTTCATGAGGGTGAGTATAAAGTAGGGCCATGTCATAAGAATGAATTGTTTTTAGATTAGGGATATGATTAAGTGAGCTTAAAATCTCCATTCATATGTATTGACCATTTTGTGAATGCCAAGGAGGCAGGAGATCTGCAGGATCCAGGCCAGGGAAGTGGACTCATTTGAGTGTGTAGTTTCAAACCTATGCATTTTTAGAGTGAGATTGTGAAATACATTGTGATTCCTGTCCATTGAACTGTAAGGTCTACGTAGGTAATTTTGGAAACAATGGCAACTAAACTGAATTGGAACGGATATTATGGCTCACTCCAAAGTGTCTGGGTTGCTAGAAACTCTCCCACCTTTGCTTGGTTGAAATTTTTTTTTTAGGTTTAAACATTTTTTTCCCTTAAAAAAATTAATTGAGATTTAATACATATATCATTCCTTACTTCAATCACATCAAATAAATTTGTACAATTGCTACCACAATCAGTTTCCAAACATTTTTTTTCTACATGGACTCCTTGACCTGTCTCCCTTTTACCGCAGGCGCCCCCACCCCCGCCCCCCACTCTACCCCTTCCCCCTTGTTCTACTTGCTGTCCCTATAGGTTCATCAGTCCTGCTGTTCGGGAGCTCGGTGGAACACGTGGCTGCCGTGTAAGAGCAGAGCTGGGCAATGGTGCAAAAAGAAGTCGGAATCGTCGTTCACCTCCTTCTCAGGGTCATCATCAGAAAAGGTCCTCCACTTGCTGCAGATCTCCCAGGAGGAGAAGCTTCTCCGGCAGCTGGACCAGGCCCCTTTCTAGAGACGGGGAAGAGAGATCACAGTCGGGGGAGAAATCACCAGGCGTCCGGAACCTTTTCTAGGTCGCTTCGCGGATCTAGGTCAAATGAAAGAAAATAAGGTGGGTTTTCAAGAGAAGTGTAGCGGTGTGTAGGAAACGTCATTGGACAGGGTTAGGTGCAGAACATTCAAGTTTTGTTTGAGATCTCAAGTTCTTGTGCACTTTTAAGATGCTTAGCTGTTCGAATTTGTTTATGGTCTCTCATAAGAATAACACATAGGAAGATGTACTTCTACGTGGTTTGAAATGGATCACATGAGGCATTTAATAACACAATTTTATTACTTTACAATGTCCTCTTAAGGTACAAAATTGAATTTGTTTTGGACTTAATTTAGTCTTACAGAAGACTGATACTAAACCTCTAAGTCTTGCCCAGCCAAAGGGTGATGTTTTAATGTCGAGGAAACAAAATGGGAAAAGACTGAACTAAGAACTTTTCATTTTGACTTTGACTTGGATATAGGATATAGGATACAGCTGTAACTGAATAAGCAGTTTGAGAGCGACAGAGCCCATAGAAGCCAGTAGATAAAAGTGAATCGCTGTAGCATTCAAGTAACTTAGAGCTTTCAAAAAATCCTCTTAAGCCTTTAACAATGTGCAGAAGTTACCCAGTGGGTGGAGAATCTGATAGGTTTCAGGAGTAATTTTTCACGTTTGCTTCAGGTCATACATCCTTTTTTGATTGCTGTGTACAAATAGATATTTGTGACATCATCTATGTGGAAAATTAAGACTATCCAAGATACCAGTGCCCTGCCAGTTTCAGCGTGCCTCGTAGAGCTGAACTCTGAGTCACTGAGCAAGTTTCTTCCCTGCTGTCCTTTGTAATCAGTTTAGCTAGAATCCTTGGGATTAAAGTTTTGGTTTTTTAAAAAAAATTCATGTATAGATCTATCTTTTATATATGTCTCTGGTTCACTTTAGAGACATTATCATTTTATTGGGGAATATTATAAATTATCCACATATGGTAATTCTACTGATCGTATCATTAGCTAAATGACATACAGTTTAAAATACTGTTTAGTAAAGTACACATGTATAGGACAGTTTTTTTAAGTTTCCTCTTAAAAAGTTTATTTATTTATTAAAATTTTTTTTTTATTGAGGACTCATACAACTCTTAACACAATCCATATGTCCATCCATTGTGTCAGGCACATTTGTACATATGTTGCCATCATCATTCTCAAAACATTTGCTTTCTACTTGAGCCCTTGGTATCAGCTACTCATTCCCCTCTCCCCCATGAACCCTTGATAATTTATAAATTATTATTTTGTCATATCTTATACCACCTGTTTCCCTTCACCCACTTCTCCACTGTCCATTCCCCAGGGAGGAGGTTATACGTAGATCCTTGTAATCTGTACCCCTTTCTCCCTCACCTTCCCTTCACCCTCCCGGTATCACCAATCTTACCACTAGTCCTGAGGGGTTCATCTGTCCTGGGTTCCCTGTGTTTCCAATTCCTATCTGTGCCAGTGTACATCCTCCGGTCCAGCTGGATATGTAAGGTAAAATTGGGATCATGATAGTGTGTGTGTGGGGAAGCATTCAAGAACTAGAGGAAAATTGTATGTTTCATCATTGCTACACTGCATCTTGACTGGCTCATCTCCTCCGCGCAGACCTTCTGTAAGGGGATGTCCAATTTCCCACAGATGGGCCCTGAGTCCCCACTCTGCACTCCTCCTCATTCACAATGCTATGATTTTTTTTTGTCTTTGATGCTATAGGACAGTTTTTAATGACTAGATTACATGGACTGTTGACTTGTACAGATTAAAAATTTTAGTGACCAGACACTATTTACACAAGCAATGAGAGTTGGAGATAGGGCAAAACTTCTGAAAACGCTCATTCACTAAGGCAGAACTATACGTGCTAGACTAAGACATCATAAAAAAAGCAAAGAATATGAGAATAACAAATATATGGCAGTCTTAAATTGCTGTTTATTTAAGCGCCCTCAAAGCAAGAGATTTGAACCAAAGTACAATGATTTCCAAATCCATCACCTTGAGATTGTAGTCATCTGCTTTTTCACATACGAGGGCAGTTCAGCTCTGACTCCAAGGAAATCGCTCAGTTCCTTTAATCTACAGGTGTGTTTAAGGTAGAGTCTGGCTCACTTAGTGGGCTTTCCAAATTGGATTCTTTTGGTGTGGCCTGTGAAAGATACTGTGCACCAAGAAAGTTCTATAATTGCCTGTAGCACTTGGCCTGAGTCTCCAAGGGCTGGATAGAAACTCAGTGAAGACCTCCCATTGGGGATCTGTACAAGGAGTGTTAAACATTTTCTACAATGGCAAGTTCACCCACCAACAGAGGTGAAGTCACTTTCTCTGAGACAGAAATGTCCTCTCTTCTCTGAACTTGAGTTTACATTAAGGTTCACTGAGCACCCTCGCAGGAGTGTTCTTGATTTGGGGGGCCATGGCACAGTGCTATGTGGCAGGAAGTGATCTCAGCTGAGGTGAGACCTTCTCTGTTGAAGTGGGTTTTGAGATGTATGTATAAGGGAGTGAGATATGGATCATGAGTATTAGGCAGACACATGACCTCATTGCTTGGGGACTGGATTAGAATACATAACCCGAGAACAGATACCTGCCTGGGACTTGGTGTTCATCCTTATAGTAGTGGTCTCAGGCAGTATTTGTCTCATTCTCAACTTTTTGAGGAAATGCCAATTCACATTCCAAGTTGGCTGCACCATGTACAACCCCATGCAGCAGTGTATGTATGAGGGTTGTCATCCCACCCAATATTTATTGTCTTCTGTTTTTTGAACTTTGCAGTTCACGTTGTGGTCAGGTGCTATCTTGGCATTTTGATTTGCATTTTTCTAATAGCTGACAGTTGCTAGCTTTTCTTCTTGTGTTTGTTGGCTGCCTGAATGTCTTTTTTGGTGAAGTGTTTATTCAGGTCCTCTGCCTATTTTTCAGTTGGAATATTTGTATTTTTCTTGTTGAGGTGTTGAAGTTTTCTATAAATTTTAGAGATTAGTTCCTTCTCTGATATCTCATTGCTAACATTTTTTTCCACAGTCCGTGGGTTCTCTTTTTAATCTTTTGGTGAAATCTCCTTATGCACATAAGTGTCTAATTTTTATATGGTCCCAGTCATCAAATTTGCCATTTGTTGTTTGTGTGTTTTTCATTAAGTTTGATAGTGTATTTATGTTTGGACAAGTCTTTTATATAGCTGAGGAGAATAATCCAAATATCTAATCCATAGCACTTGCCAATTTTCAAGAGTCTTTGCCAATAGATATTATTCAGTCAGAATGGTAAAAAAAAATCCCTTCCACTCCAGTGGCAGCAATTTGCATAATCCAGCTGCTCTTAAACTTTCAGAGGAAAGAAGAATTAGGTTAATTAACAAGGAACAAAAAAATGAAGCTTGTAAAGTAAGAGTTTCAAATGTTGGTTCAGTAAATGCAGCAGAAATGGTTACATTTTGGATTTTGAAGAACTCAAGATTGCCATTCTTAAACTCGTTTCACTTAAACAATATTATGAATAGCCATTTTGAGAAGAAAAGTTTTGTTTTGTAGTAATGAAATGTTTTCCTCATTTAAGTGATTTTAGACATTTAATGTGATGGATATTGTAATGCTGGATGGGGATATTTTGAATGTTGGTAAAATAGTCCTATAGATGATACAACTGTAATTAGAGGGACCAATACTTAGAATTCTTAATATGATGATAAAGGCGGTGGTGTTATTATTAGGTGCTGTCTAGTCAGTTCTGACTCAGAGTGACCCTTTGTAGAACACAGAATGAAAGCATGCCCCATCGTGTGCCATACCCGTTCCTGTGTTTGAGCATATTGTTGCAGCCACTGCGTTGCAACCATCTTGTCAAGACCTGGACCTTCTTTTCTGTTGCTCCTCCACTTGACCAAGAAGGAAGTCCTTCTCCAGGGACTGATCGCTCTGGATAACATGTCTAATTATGTGACACTTACTTAGCCTGGTCTCGAAGGAGCATTCCGGCTGTACTTCTTCTAAGACAGACTGTTCTTTTGGCAGTCTCTGGTACTTTTAATATTCTTCACCAGCATCATAATTCAAATACATCTATTCTTCTTCAATGTTTCTTCCTTACTCAAGGTCCCACTTTCACTTGCATATGAGGTGATTGAAAACATCATGATTTGTGTCAGTAGGTAACATCCTTGCTTTCCAAAGAGGTCTTGGCAGTCAGATTTACCCAATGTAATTTGTCTTTTGATCTCTTGATTGCTGCTTCTATGAACAATGATGGTGGGTTGAAGCAAGCTGAAATGCTGGGCAACTTCAGTTTTGTCACCGTTGATCATGATGTTCTCTATTGGTCCAGCTGTGAGGATTTTTGTTTCCTTTACATTGAGTTGTAGTCCATACTAAAGCTTTCAGTCTTTTGTCTTCATCAGCAAGTCCTTCAAAGTCATCCTCCCTTTCAGCAAGCAAGGTTGTGTCATCTGCATATCGCAGGGCTGGGAAAGAAAATCCTATAGGAATACTGCCCATCTAAGAATGTCAGAATATCTACATTGTTTGAAGAAGTTCAGACTGCACTGAATGCATTAGCCTAAAACAAGGGTCCAGGAATTGATGGAATACCTATTGAAATGTTTCAGAAAGCTAAAGAAACACTGGAAGCTCTCACTCATCTATGCTAGGAAATTTGGAAGACAGCTACCGAGTCAATGGACTGGAAGAGATTCATTTTTGTGTCCATTCCAAAGAAAGGTGACCCAACAGAATGCTCAAACTACAGAACGATATCATTGATATCACACACAATTAAAATTTTGCTTCAGATCATCCAACAACAAGTGCAGCAGTCCATTGACAGGGAACTGCCAATGTACTGATTCAATTTCAGGCCTGATTCAAAAGGGTGTGGAACAAGGGATATATCATTGCTGATGTCAGATGCATCTTGCATCAAAGCAGAGACTACCAGGAAGAGGTTAACTTGTTTATCATTGACTATGCAAAAGCATTCTACTGTGTGAACC